CAAAATAAAAATATTATTAAATAAAATTAATAACAACTAAGTTTTGTTTGTTCCAACTAAAATAAATCTGAAAAATAGAAATAACAAAATAAATCCTAAATGGAAATGAGACTAACATCATTTTGACCCTTGCATCACAAAAGCTGCAATCTGTTGGAGTTGTGATTCAGATAGCTTAATCCCAGAAACATTTTCGTTTTCGCTTCTTGCATTCTTGTATTCATTAACTTGATTCTGCAAATCTTCAACCAAATTGTGTAACTGGTTAATTAAATCGTCTTGCATTTTTATAGTATCACCCAAATTTGAAATCCTCTTCTCCAAATCATCAGCACGTTTTGTCGCCTGTTCTTCAAATGCTTTAATTAATTCTTGTTCCATATAGCGATTCGAAAGTCCTCCTATCCCAAGACCTCGAGCATATCCTCTTTTAAGTTGTCCTAACCCCTGTCTAAAATGTTCTATGAGTGGAATAGGAGCTGAGGAAATCTCTTCAGCATTTTCCACTTCAACAATTTAAAGTTGTTCCTATAGGAAAAAGAAAATAAATTATTATAAAAAATAACAAATTAATATATAAAAATGATACAAATAATTACCAAAATTCTTTCCCCATCAAGAACTTTCCTTAAATCTAGAAAATACTCTAAACCCATAGATCGATCACCATCGAATTCTCTGAATTCAAAATCATAGAGTAAAAACAAAAGGGATGAACAAAAGGATCCTTATTTGGGAGTAGAAGTCGACGCCAGAGAAAGCAATGTTGGTTTTAGAAAAAAAAGAATTATAAGGAGAGGTCGACTACAGGGAAGATTTGTCATTTAGGTGACCTAAAATCATTTTTTCTATAATGCATGACTTATTTTATTGTTAAATTGTTAAATGGTTGGCTGCAATCTTAAAAACTTGACGGAATATGTCTAGCATACCTGTTGTTGCTTAATCCTCTCTCGAACTTTGTTAGCCTCTTCTTAGTTGATGTAGTTAGAATTAGGATTCAACTCGTTCTTTATATATTAGTTAAGAGGATAAGTTTGGAAGATAATCTAATAGCGTTTAAATAGAATTGAAATGTGCAAGTTAACATTTCTATTGGTCAAGGAGAAAAAAAAACGCTATTTAACTTTTTTTTTATTAGAATATTTGTGATAAATTTTAATTATTTAAATAGAAAAATCAAATAAACTAAACTTAAACAAAATCAGATTTTAAATTAAAATTTAATAATTTAAAATGAAAACATAAATATCCATTAGCTTTTTATTATCGGTTTTTGAAGAATTTTAGGTTTCAAAATCAGTCTTCTTCTCACCGTCCCTTGAAGAAAATTGTGGTTTCTCTTTATTTAAGGTTTTGATGGCAAAATCCAAGGTAATATTTCTTTCAAATTTCTTGCAATTTAAGGCAATCTTGTCATCTTAACCTTACTAGTTGTTGTTCAAATAAAAGCCACAGGGCATACTCTTGAACTCTCAGATGACAGTTCCATTGATGGAGTTCATGTGAATGATTTATGCTTTTCATTTCCTAACTCTTTGCATAGAGATACTCCTGAAAGCCCAATATCACCAAGTCTGCCAAATTATGTTAGTGATTTAGATGATGGGAATGGTATATTTGAATCACCAAAACTACCAAGTTATGTTAGTAATTCAGATGATGAGAATGGTATATTTACTTGATACTATCAATCTTTTTCCCACTCTATAATTTTAGAACACTATTGAACTGGTTTTTATATTGATGGTTTGTTTGCAGGTAATTAAATGTGTAGGTGATTTGATGGTCTGTCTATTACCATGAGGTGAGGTGAGTGCGATTCATACTTTTTGTTAAATTTATATTTGATAGTATATATTTCTATGTTTTAATATGGAGTTAATAAATTTTTTTGTGAACTTGCATAAGTTAGAGATGTAAAACATGTTTTATCATTCTAAATACTAAAAAGGTAACAATTCATAAAAGCAATCAAAAGACTCTTCTTTGTGCATTATTAGTAGTTTTATCTTCCCAATTTTAATTAGTTATGCTTGCCTTTTTTGTGTATTTATTATTGTCCACCCACATAGCAGCCGGTGTCTAAATTTTCTATTAACATATCATATAATCTTCATGGTGACCATTCAGGTGCATTTTCAAAGGCCTCAGCCTCTCCATATCGTTTAACATTCTATTCAATTAAGCTTTTTTTTTTTAAATGGAGCATTTGGAAGAAGATGGGGAGTAACTGATGTAGATAGGGAAGGAAATTCTGAATATAAAAGAATATTAAATTGTCAGTAATATTTACCTACTATCTATTAGGATTTATATTGTTCAATAAAGATAAGCTTTTTTGTCTTTGTGATGAACTTACCCTTGTTGATTGCTAAAGTATATTCTCAAACCATGCCTCTCACCTACTGAGTTTTTTTATGCTATTATATCTGCCACAGATTTTTCAACCTATTATATTGTATGTTAGTGGGTTATGTATTTTACTTTTTCGCTTAATTTCTCTTGTTGCTAGGTAGCTGTCAACATTTTCAGGAACTTGTTACTTAAAGCACAAGTTCTTTGGCTAACTGTCCAATTGTGACAGTACTTATTGAATTGTCCTTGGCCATCTCCATGTATGTGCATAAAGATTAAAGACATTGTTGCATACAAACACACACATAGGACAAAGCCTTTATGCTTTGAACGTTGAGATGGTTCTGATTGCAGTTATTAGTGTTGAACCTATTGGTGATGGTGGAAATGTGTTAGTAAAACTAGAATACTAGATGAAGTTCATCTATTCTTTAATCCTTTTAATTTTAATTATTGGTGGTTCTGATAATTAATTACTAAGGATAGCTTTGATTGTGAAGCAATGCTTGATTGATTGCTTCAACTCTTTTGTATGTTTTGTGATATATCCTCGTCAATGTTTTAATGGTAAACTTGGCCATGACCATGTGCAGCATCCTTAGATTCTAAGGTTTTGTGATATATCCTCGTCAATGTTTTAATGGTATACTTGGCCATGACCATGTGCAGCATCCTTAGGTTCTAAGGTTTTGTGATATATCCTTGTCAATGTTTGAATGGTAAACTTGGCCCATGACCATGTGCAGCATCCTTAGGTTCTAAGGTTTTGTGATATATCCTCGTCAATGTTTGAATGGTAAACTTGGCCCATGACCATGTGCAGCATCCTTAGGTTCTAAGGTTTTGTGATATATCCT